CATTCAAATAATTCGGAGAACATTCTTGTCTAATTGCGAACAATACATCTATATTTTTTTATCTCATTTTTATATCAACAGTTATATCATCAGTTATATCATTGATGTAGTCTGAAGAAAAATACATTCATATTCTTATAAAATTTTATTATGTTCAGAAATATGTATAAAAAGGTTGATTTCGCGACCTAATGTTTGAGATAAAAAAATCAATAACATATAAATAATAAATAAACATTTTAAAAATTTCAAAAAATTGTAATTGTTTACAATAAATACTTAACATTAACCTTTCAAAACACACATTATAGAACCATAATTATGAGCACCAAAGGATCATCTAGTAAAGGTGGCAGTAAAAAGGGGAGTTCAATGTTTATTATTATATATTTTCAATGTTAACATTTTTTATTTTAATAAATTAAAAAATCACGTGAAATTCGATAAGTCGGTCGCAGGGGTCCGCCCTGACATGACCGACTTATCAAGTTTACATATGTATTATTATTACTATTACGAGTTATTAACGGATTACGGCTAGCTTGTTATTATTTTATTATTATAGTAATAGTAATAGGATTTAGTGTTGTTATTATAATTCGTAATCCATTAATAATAATTATTAACATTAACATTAATATTGAGTATTTTTTCATCCGGATTTGTAATGGGTTAATCCGTTTAAAATAGTAAATATTATTATTATTATTATTAAAAGGATTCTTAACATGCCCATAATAATAACGTTAATTGGTTAACAGTGACAAATAAATGCCGTTTATTATTATTATCTATTCCCCCCTGTAGTTTCTTTGTTCACTTTGGTTTTGTTACAGCATGCTCCAATAATAAATATATTGTTATTTAGATAACTATCACTAAAGCATGTTAACTTGATACTGAATTGAAAAGAATACAAGTATGAAATTTATTATAAGTTTTGGTAAAGATAAAAAAAAAATTTATTTTGAAAAATTTCTTTATACACTCAATATGTATATTTATACATACAATCATTCATTCATTAATAATCAAACCATTTAGAATATGGTTTTTTTGTATCTGGAAGTGTTTTTGGAATGAATATTTGAACTAAGAGAACATTTTATTGAAAAGTTTTCAATAAAGCAAATTTACATTAACAAATATATTTTTTCTTCGCCTATTTGTAAAATTTTAGACAATGAAAAATGATCGGAATTTGTATATACGACTTTTGGTAGCTTTATAAAGAAAATTTATTATCTTTATTTTGATACACTGGTAGTCCATAATTTGTATACACACTAAATTTTCTTTTCTTGTCTAATAACAATGGCACTGATAAATATTTGGTTATGTTCATGAGCTGGCTACTTTTTTTGAGGAGAAGAATTCGGCAAAACTATAGAGTACACATTTGAAAACTCTGATAGCTTGAACAAGTTGAAATTTTATTACAACATGAATGCAGCAGATGCCAAAAAAGGAAAAGCTGGCTTAGCTTTAAGAGTTTTTTCGCCTTGTCAGTAAATTACAATATAGATAGTATAATTATATTCGAACTGGCATACCTTTTTTTAGTAAGGTTATCTATATTCATATAGATAGTTGCTCTTTTTTACATGGTTTCTGACAATTTCTCATGCAAGATTTGATTATTATTATACTCCATTTTTTAATAAATCAACATACCAGTTCTTTTTAAAAAAAAATGGCAATTTATACTCTTTTTACGCACTAGTTCAAATATAATTATCCGAAGAATGAATAAAATTGCTAATCTTTTAAATAGTCATGCTGGATTGGGTAAAGTTATTGGTCACCAAAACTATTTTGTAGAGACAAAAGTCAAACTAAAATTAAAAGTCATCAAAAGTCAAAAGTCAAGACCACTTTCGACTTATGACGAAACCTTTTGACTTTCACACAGTTCCAAAGCTCTATGGTTTTGGAAACCAACATCATTTTAAATCAAGCCCAAAACCAGTATATATAAAAGTATACTGCCTCAAGATGTTCCTGCCATTATCGGATTCGAGCCCAACTATGTAACTGCTCAGAGAATCGATTGTATAATCAATAATTTTCTCTATAATCAGAATCAACCATCTATACCAGATGAAACCAATCATTATTTCTCATTGTTGCTGGGGATTTTGTACAGGAAGAAAAATTTGAAACGTGGTAACATTTTAAACGGGGAGTGTTATTAGAAACATCACTATGAATACAATTTATTTATCTTATTTATGAACCGTAATATAGCACAACTGATATTCCAAGTACCATTGCATCAGCTGGTGGTGCCTTTGATTAATATATTTAATTTGCATTGCTTAACAAGTTAGAAATTGACCCTATTTTTTTTTTTTTTTGCAACCAATAGGTATCATGGGAGCCATTCTTGTGTGGTTATTTGGATCCAGCAGTTTAGATTCATGGGGTATTGCAAGAAGAATTGCAGTAATCCGTAATGGTATTTGGGTGATAATTTTAATGATTTTAGATGTAAGATGATAGGAAGACAATCAGAAAGGAAAACAATTATCTTAAATGTTTGACAGTTAAAGTTGCAATCACAAGAAATTCTTGGATACTTCGTTTTTCAATCATCAAGAAAAAGCACAAAAGAAAATTGAGGATTAGATTATCAAGAATAAAAGCAAAAAACGAGCAATTATTAAAGAAATTTACACATTTGACTTTTTTTTTCAAAATAATCAATAAAGTTCTAGGAAATCTGGAAGTATGAAGTTATATATACATAATCTCCAGGATTTTCACTACAAATTGGTATAATTTTGTACAATTATTATGTATATTTTTGTGTCAGAACTATTATTGAAAATTCCATGTTAAAATTTCAGAGATAAAGGTTTTAAAAAATCGTTTTAGCAAACACTCTCTATAACTAACAAAAGCAGCAAAATTACATATAGGGACAAGAGGTTCCGTTATAGTGTAAACTGTATAATGCATATCACGTGATTTAATTATATTTTGGATATCTCGATTTAGCGGACGAACTGTCCAATCGTGTAACCTGATAAAAAAAAATTTTTTTTTTATTTATAAAATTTAAAAAAAATCATGGCCACTCAAATATCAAAAAAGAGAAAAGTAAGTATTAGTTTTTTAAAAAATTATAAATTGATTATAATAAATGATGATTATCCTATCTGGCACCTCTTGTTTGAATACCTTTATAATATAAAGGTATAATGCACGGAATTTAGATATGTCTGATTTACTAAGAATTATAACAATAGATTAATTAGATTAATTAATATATATATATATGTTATACATGGATGAATCTAATATATAATAATAATAATTATAGAATTGTTTTATTCATCAAATTGTTATTTTTTATTCAGTTCGTAGCTGATGGTGTTTTTTTTGCAGAACTTAATGAATTCTTTACACGTGAATTAGCTGAAGAAGGATATTCTGGTGTTGAAGTTAGAGTAACACCCGCAAGAACTGAAATAATTATTCGTGCAACTCATACACAAGATGTACTTGGTGAGAAAGGTCGTAGAATTCGTGAATTGACAGCCTTGATTCAGAAAAGATTTAAATTTCCTGAAAACACTGTTGAATTGTATGCAGAAAAGGTGCAAAATCGTGGTCTTTGTGCCATTGCACAATGTGAATCTCTTCGATATAAATTATTGGCAGGACTTGCTGTTAGAAGGTATAAAAAAACTTTGAAAGGAATATTAACAACAATTAAATAACAATAATAGTAATTGTATGTTCATTTATTTATTTTATTCATTATAATAAATTAGGGCTTGTTATGGTGTACTTCGCTTTATCATGGAATCTGGTGCTAAAGGTTGTGAAGTAGTTGTATCAGGAAAATTAAGAGCTGCTCGTGCCAAATCAATGAAATTTGTTGATGGATTTATGATTCATTCCGGTCAACCAATACGTGATTATGTTGATACAGCAGTTCGTCATGTTATGTTAAGGCAAGGTGTTTTAGGCATTAAAGTAAAAATTATGAAAGTATGTGTTTGTGTGGTTTTTGATTTGTTATTTTATATATTTTAGTTATATGATAAATAATACCATATAAATATCAATAATGTTAATAATGTTGTTATTATTGTTATTAAAATTTTAGGCTAGTGATCCGACTGGAAAAAATGGTCCAAAAACTGATTTACCTGATATTGTTACCGTTTCGGTAAATAATAATAATATTATTATTGTTAATTTTTTATCTAAATTGCCACAAATAATTTATTCCTTTATTTCTTAAATTGAATGCTACAAACAGGAACCCAAAGATGAACCAATCATCACACAGCCTACTTCTGAGGATTTCCAAAAATCAGCAATACCACCTCCTGATGTTGTAGCTGTTTCACAATCACCACCTATTGCTCCTGCAGAGTATGGAGGTGGTGGTGGCGGAGGTGGTGGAGGTGGTGGAGGTGGAAGTTATGAATGGGATAAGCAATAAATTATGATGATGATTCATCAAATAAAAAAATCCAGCCAAATACTTTTATTTATTAGCTGTTGAAATAGTAAAAAAAAAAAATGATGTTATTATTATTAATATTAATTAATTAAAGATATGAAATGTTTTTTCAAGAAAAAGAAATACCACATGTGTATACATGTTTGCTTACCTTGTAATAATTCCTGGAATTATTCGATATTGATGAAATTATCCAACATAATTTGAATTAGATACCATTCAAATTCAACAACTCCAGATCTAATGATGGTTCAAAATGATAAATCCAAATGTAAAATTTGTTTTACATATATATTAATATATAGCAAAGTTCTTTGAGAAATTGATCAACAAATTCAATTAATTTCATTCACTGAAAATTTTAGTCGGCAGAGTTAAAACTGGTGCTAAATAGTTCAAATTGATTTATTATTTCTATGTAAGGAGGGATGAGAACCAACCCAGTTTAAAGGTTTAAACTGTGAAACTGTGTACATTAAAAATTTTAAAAAAATTATTATTTATTTTACAAAAATTTGAAGGCTTTTCTAGTTATTATTAAAAAAATGGTGGTGGTGATTATTGATCAGAAACCCTTCATTCTATTAAAAGAATGAAATCATCATTCCAGTTAATTATTATCACTGTTTTGCCTTTTTACACCACCATTACTACCACCAGTATCGTTTTTTCATCCGAAGCACAATTAAAACGACAAAGAAGAATATTGTTACGGATGATTCATTGTCACCATCATTATTGATTGACAGAACATGAGGTAAGCAATAAGTAAGTTATATTCTCTTTAAATGGATATGATTGACTATTTTTGTTTTTAATGACCAATCAATCCTTCAACCTGTAAGAAAATGAATTGTCATCCATCATCATTACTATATAGTTACTACCGTTCCAAAAGGATCAACCAGACCCTTTGATAAGTAAGTAGAAAAAATTTTATTTATTTATTGTGTTAAATTATTGATTTCTACTTCATAGAATAAATTATAACAATAATAAAAATTATATGGGAAAGACTGGTTTTTATATAATACATCATTCTGATTTCATGAATGCACGCTTGGATTTTTTGCTTATATACACAGAAAGAAAAATTACAAACATAAGCAGAACCACCTTTTGCCTGCTGCACAAAGGTTTCATGCTAGAAGCTGACGTTTGCAACAGGACAACACACATCACATGTTGCGAAAAAAATTCATTGCTGAAAATGGGACTAACGTGATTAATTGATTGGTCATCCAACAATCCTGATCTCCATCCGATAGAGAACAGATGACATATTATGAAGAATAATGTTGAAGCAATTTACAGTTGAAAAATTCCTCAAGAAACAGTTAAAAATTATTATTATGTTGTGTAATTGTTATGCATTTTTTTTGTGACCACCATTTTGACAGCAAAGAAATTTGAATATATTAATTTTTAATATTAATAGAAATGAGGCTTTAGATGTTTTTATGGGGAAATGATTTTAAATCATTTAGAATAGTTAGTTGGGTAGTTTTGATGAATGGAAGAAGACCCATAATTTTATATCAAGCATTGTTGAATCATGAAAATGTTGAATCATTCAATTGGTTTTTCAATTGTATAAAGAATGTTTTTTTAGAGCAACCAGGCTTGATTATGAGTGATTATGCATGACATTTCCTTGGAATCATCAATTGAGAGTAGTTTTCCAGACAAAAATATCATTTGTGGATTTTTCCATATTTACAATAATTTGCATTATAATTTTATCCAAATAACTATTCTTTTCAGTTCACCAATTGTATTTGATAGAATACGGAATCGAATTATTCAAAAATTACCTAAATAAATATATTCACAACTCCAAAGAAAAATGGGGCTGGTCATGGAAATGCAGAATAATGACAGCTGGTGAAAAAACATCATCAAAGATTAGAAGGTTTGAATGCTGTTATAAAGACAGTTAAATGCCTCGTTGATACACAGATTAAAGAAAACATTCAAAAGTCTGAAAAAAAAGCCTCCTAGTATCCTGCCAAAAACATGTATCCTTCAATATTACATTCTCAACTTACAATGAAAAATACTATTCTAATTTTTCTCAATCCAGAATTAAAATTGAGATGGTTACTTTATGATCATATAGTTTCTTAATATCTTCTGTTGAGGAACTTTTAAATGTGCTAAACGATAATGATAATAATGATATTACCAATGTGGCCAACATCACCAACTACAAATACTACCAGTAACATTAATAATGACAATAACATTATTACTACCATTGCCACCACTTTCATTAACAATACAGTGACAATATAAATGTGATATCACTAGCATCAGAAGTTTTCCTTTAAGAATTACTTCTTTCATCCAGCATGGAACTGTCTAAAGTATGGATTCTGAGACACTATTTGGACATAGAAAACAATATGTAATTGTTTTCAATGATGGTGCACACGTGTGCTTCTATCACATGAAGAGATAGTTTGCAGACAATTTTACATACAAGTCAAATTACCAAATTCTACATAACTATGTTAAGGTGGCTTACAGGATGGATAAATTAAAACAGAAAATTATTACAAGTGATGTTGTTGGCATTCATCAACAACTTCCAAAATATTCGGAATTATTTGGTAATGACTTAATTAAGTCCCAATTCCAATCCACCAATAATCCCAGAAAAAAAAAAATATATCATTTTTTTGGATGGTTTTAAAGTTATCACTCAAATAATGCTGATAAAATATAGGAAGACAAAATATACTTGATAAAGCTTATATAAAATTAAAGGAAGGGGGCATGATTAATGACGATGATGATGATGATGATGATGATGATGATGATGATGATGATGGTGATGATAAAACAAAAAGTTCAGTTCCAATGAGAACTAAAGATCATTCTTTAATCCTCAAAGAAGAACTAATCCAAAAAGAAATACTACAAAAACAATATTAAAACAAGAAAAAATATAATTTAAAAATTTATTTATTTATTTATTTCTATTTACTAATTCATTTACAATAAATTTATCCATGGAAAAATATTAAATATATTAAATTCACAATCATATCAACTTTAAATCAGAATCACAAACATCATAGAATTGGCTATTATTGGATTGGAATCCTACAAGCATACCATTATAAGTTCAATTTGAATAATATGTTGATCAAGTTGAATGTTAATTGATTGTTCTTAGTTGTTAATGGTTCTAAACTCATGTTATGGGAACAAAAAGAGAGAAGATAATCGGTTTTGTAGTTTAGAGCACTGAATAATAAATTAATTACTTGTATAGGAACATATACAGGCTGGTTTATACAAGAGTGAATTACTGTTAATATATCATTACTGTAAGGTATTATGTTTGTTCACCCAGTATGAGATAGTATAATTCTCCATGCTCACAATTCTCTTTCTTTAAATTTGTGGCGTGGTGGATATTTTTCTTTTAAAGCAGAAGTAATTTCAATTGTTGTTTTTTTGTCATTGTACCATTCAATGAAAAATTTATTCGGGTTTGATTCATTTCGTCAACAATCATTTCGTCAATAGTCATTTCGTCGACACCCATTTCATCAAAAGTTTGTTTCATCGAAAGTTCATTTCGTCAAATGTTCATTTCGTCGAAAATTATTTCGTCACAAAAAAAAAACTTCATTAAACAAATTTCTTCTCACACTTCCACACACTTCACTTTCCTCATCTAATTTCTTAACTAACTTCCCACACTCCTCACATCTAACTCTTTTGGTCTCTGGCTCGAGGATGAATAATTTTTGACGAAATGAACATTTGACAAAATGATTGTTGACAAAATAATTTTCGATGAAGTAAACGCGACCGATCCCAAATGGATGAAATGTTATATCTGTTAACAATTGATTATTAATTTCTGGTTTATCATGCCCTGTAACAAGATATCCCAAATATTTTGTTCTAGAAGCAAACAGCTGCTGATAAAGTGTATTTACAGTAGCTAAAGAATTATCAAAAATATTGCATGTTAAACTATTTGCTTCACAAATATACCCAGGTTTGTACAAGCATTCTTTATGACCTTCAATAATAGTAACAAAAAAATGAGTTTTATTAAGGATAACCAATGTTTATTCTAATAGGATATAAAATAGAATTGTCATCAGTTTGTCTAATTTTCTGCCAATATCACCAAAATGTAAAATTTTCTTTAAAAAACTAAAGGAGACTGGAGAAACTGTGTAGTTTTTACTTTTACTCATTAAAAATAAATTATATTATTAAAAAATCAAAATATTCATTGCACAATTCAATGTCAATTATAAAAAATAAAATCAATAAAAGGATCAAGTTGATGCATCCATGTAATAACAGACTAAAAAAATAACTGATTCATGTTGCAAAGGTTGTATATGGTCTCTTTCTTGGTTGAAGAAAAAATATATCTGAAGCTACACAATTTGTCTTATTATAAACAGTATTCCAAGAAGTCATACAAACGTCTCTACCTCTACCATATATTCTACTGATCCCACTACACCTTTTGATATTTCTTCTGTGGTCGAAGGAGTTAATTGTAACACCATGAATAAAAATAATGTAGACTACAATAACAAAAATAGTAGTCACATTCTTCTGCAGTAATGATGATGATAGCGAGATTTCTATGACCTTCGAATTTATTACCTATTACATTTTTTATCAGATTGATTGAACTGCAATTGATTTTTATCAAGATTTCATAGTATAATAAAAATAAACCATGCATAATGCACGTGATAATTTGTGTAAAGTCTTTAAACTGAAAAATAATATTTTTTCCACTATCTATTCATGACAACCACATTTTCAGGAAATGCGAATGAATTTAGAGTTGGCAATCGTTTAAGTAGTGGAGTGGTACTATTTTTGTTCTCTTGTTATTGATTAAACAGCTTTAGCTATGCATTCCATTGACGTGCAATTAAATTTATACAAGACAACACCATTCCAAAAATAAAGAATTTGATTCAAAGTCTTGCAAAGATAGGGTTGTTAATGGAACATAATGGGTTGAGTTGGGTTCATATTATTGTGGAGCAAGGGTTAACCCAACCCAACCTGGGTTAAATGTACTGGGTTAATACTCCATGGGTTGCTCCATGGAGTAATAATTATAATTATAATTCTCATTTAAAAAAAAATTATACCGATTTTTAAATTATAATAATTTTAAAACTTGCATATCAAATATAATTATATATTTTGGTTCCAAATTTAATTTCCTTTTTATTAAATGTTTAAAAATTGAATAATAATTGTAAAAGTTTTAATAAGAATAAAATTTTACTTGAATTAAATTTTCAAAAAAAAACTTAGTTTTGCCACCCTTCCCCTGACCACCACTTGACCACCACCCCTATGAAAAATAGGTCTTTATATAATTTTTTATCATGTAAATAATTGTAAACACTCCGCGTAAATAATTAATTAGATTAGATATTAGAAATATTTAATTGATTAATAATCAAATTACTAAAATAATTTGGAGCAACCCGGGTTATAATAAAATATTTTGTTCCAGGTTAGTACAAAAAATTAGAAATTTTAACCCACTCCATGATGGAGTGATACATAACCCAGGTTGATGCCGGAGCATTATTCTCCATTTAACAACCCTACGCGAAGAACACAGAATCCAAAGTATTTAAAGTATTTCTTTGGAACATACTGTTTGAAATAAATCTAACAATTAGTTACCCTTAGGTTATTGCTCAAATTGAAAAAGAGATTAAAGTAGTGTTGGAAGAAATACCTAAATATGATGATATAGATGTCATTGAAATAGATTTGCCACCCATTAATGACAAAAAACGTGAGAAAATTCTTGAAACTAATCATAATATTTTCCAAGCTGAAAGGATCAATGATAGACTGTTCATCAAAGTAAGTGTTATTATTGTTTTATGATTATTTTATGTTCATTTTCTAATTTTTGTTATTACTCAGTTTGATGGTTTAATGAAGGAATGAATACATAAGGCATTAATGAATTCACTCAATCAACAACTTCCAGCTTGGTTGGTTGTAACTAATGGGGTATCTGTAGTTAATGGTAATGAATTTCGACCAGATGTGGGGGGATGGAATCAATGGTCAACTCGTCAGCACCTGTCATTAATGTATCTCCACCTCCTTTATTATGGGTTGAGGTAATAATTTTCTTATGGAAATGTGTAATCATTTCTTAACAATCTTGTTATTACTAAATTATTGAACATTACAGGTGGCATTCAATAGGACTAAGGATCATGTCAATGTCATTAAACAAGATTGAATATGTTCAGCCATATTGTCCAAACACTGAGTTTGTGTTAATTGTTATTACTTTTGGAATATCACCCTTTCAAGCAAATCTAAACCCGGGATTATATCAGTTGCAGTAATATCACCAAGAACAGATCATCCTTCAAGAGCACCATATATTGGTCATTGGCTGTAGGTGCGACTTTTGATGCAGTACAATGGCACAAAATGCGATGGAATGAGCTCATTATTCTTGGGTGTGGGGGTGCATCTACTTTAATGATATACTTACTATCTTGTTGTAAATATTTGGCATCTCAACTCAATAACAATCAGTTTGGGTATATTGCAATATGATCAATTTGCTTAATGATACATCATATCTATATGATTAATAAAAGCTATAAAAATTTACATTGTTGCCCAATTTGGGTGAAATTTTATTATTTATCAAGAATTTTTTATTTTCATTTGCTGATATCAAATTTATAGAAGAAAAAATGACTAGGTGTAAATTTCTAGCTCTCAAAGTATATGATATACTGACCTTGCTAAATTTATTTCACCATAAATAACAGATGCTATAATGGAAGTATCCAAAGTGCAAACAAATTTTCTGATTCAGTAGTATGCAAAAGTAATCAAAATTTTCGATCCAGTATAACAACAAAGCATAGGTTGAATTTTTAGTAAAGTAATACGCAAAGGTAAGAACAAATTTTTTAATCAGTAATATGTAAAGGTGATACATCAAAGTTAATCCAATTTTTTAACCCAGTAATACACAAAAGTAAGAATAAATTTTTCGATAGTAAAACAAGAAAACATAGGACAAATTTTGACATGAAGTGGTAGTACCCAAAAGTATCAACTATGTGAGAAAGCTTTCTAGAGATCCAAAACATAGCATACTCATGGTATTACCCCAAGGTATAATTAATACAGATATACATATATTATAAAAATTATGCTTTGTGGTAGTACCAAATAAAGGATAACAATTTGGCACTACGTGCCTCACCCTTGATCAGTAATTGAATGCATCATGCAAAGCCAGATCATGAATACTATTTCGGCACTTTGTGCCTCACCCTCAAATTCAAATGTGACATGCAAAGCCAAAATACAGATTGCCAATTTGACACTTTGTGCTTCATCCTCACAATCAAAAAAGTTGGCAGTTCACCTAGGAAATGAATAACTTTTAAACCTCTAATAATTTGTCTAAGAATATCAATTTTGTTTTCCCATTTTAAATTTTTAAAATCTTTTGTTAAATAATTTTGAAGATTTCCATATTTTATATATGCCATTACAAATATACGTGGGGTGGCTGAAAAGTAATGAGAAAATAGCTTTATTTCAAAAACTTTATTACAACTTTTAAAAAATTTTAT